AAAGGAAGGGAAAAAAAAAAAAAAAGCTGCGTATCGAGAGGGGAATATTTCAAATTATATTTGATGCGAAGACTAAATTATTTCCTCGTCAATACATCAATTGCCATGCCTGGTGCCTAGCCAAGTATGGCGAGGACCAAACTGGCCGGTCGTCCTCGGCATCCTAAGCAAATGGTTTATTAGTGCTGCTATTTACTTCGAGAATTGCAGAATATACTTACGAGTCTCATCTCCTCCAATTTTTGGAGGCCGTTGGTCCAGGCCTTGGCCCGGCCGCGGATCCTCACGTGTGGCAGAGCCACCCAAGCAAGCAGCACCGCCTCAAGGACGGCCGCCCGACCATCCCACAACCTCCTGGGCATGTCTATAATGTATGTGTCAGTTGTTGATCTGTTAGGAACATCCAGAGAGATGCTTACGTCTTGGAGGGGCGAGGAGGGGTCGTCGTCGTCGTCGTCGTCGTCGTCGTTGTTGTTGTTGTTGCTGCTGCTGCTGCTGCTGCTACTGCTGCTACTGCTGCTGGTGGTGGTGGTGGTGGTGGTGGTGGTGGCGGCGGCGGAGAGGCAGGCCACTCCTCTCGTGAGAGAGGAGCGACCTCCTCGGACAGCTCTATGACGAATTGTTGTCGGCTCATCGAGGCTGGTCAGAAGTGTACAAGATTGAGCGAGATTGGAAATTGAGAAATCAATGAAAAGTGGTTGAAGTGGCAGTTCTCAAAGAGAAAGCGGTGGGTGATAATGAAATAATGCTTGAGGTTGTACTTTTGACCGCAAGAAAAAAAAAAGAGAAAGAAATTTGGATCGCTTCTGCGAGTGAATTTTTCCGTGTTAGGCAACAACGTTCTCGGCCTTTCGATTGAGCACTTTCCAAATCACCAAATTGTGAATAGGGGCAGGTGCCGTCGTGCCTGCTTCATCAGCTGGCCGCTTAACCCATCAGTCGTTGGACGCCAGAAGTATCCACGGAAGTCGCATCTGGGGACTGCCTGCCCGGATTCAACTCTCTGTGAGATACATATATACCGATGAGTTTCAATGCATGAGGTACGTATTCATGTTCTTTTATGTAAAGTAGGTACATATTCAATATCTCGCATCTACCAGATAGTGTGATCTGCATACATACGTACATTGCAAGAATATGTAGGTACACACCGAGGAATACTCTCGATCAAGCGCTGTCCACTTGGTGGCATGACAGAAGCTTTGAATATCCGTATCCGCTTCAAGTGTATTATGATGGCACATACGTGCGATGGCTGACCTCATCTTCTGGTGTTCCACGTGCAGGGTTACTAGACCGCACGTACACTGCTACCATTTCAATTAAGATTCCAGAAATCATTGCGTTGTGTTGATTGGCCAGACTTTCAGTTGGCATACTGAAGGAATAATAATAACGGGCGACGTATTGCTGAATATTCAAATCCATTGTCGTGAATGATGACTATGAAAATGAGCTCTTTCATTTGTCGGTCTGCCATGAATGCTTCGATGATGTTTCTGCGGAGATGCGCGTCTCTGGCGGCTATCCAAATCATCATGCACAGAGAACAGGAGGTACCCTACTATAGTATTTGAGGCTCGAACTGCCCTGGTGATCTTATCGATTTCTTCACAGTACAACTTGAGGACACGAGCCGCAGTCCATGAGATGATGGCAAGAAGGAACGGTTATATCACCATTCCATATGTTCACTGTTCAGTATTTCTGTCTCGTCCGCGTAATTGTATAGGCATATTTTGACACAATAACTATGTCTGAAAGCCTCTTGCCACTTCGACGGGACCAGTGAAGAGGTCCATCACTCGACAAATACACAAAAGGGAACCGCCCGTAGCGCGACTCTTGGCCGCAGCGACGATATACCCAGAATCGATGAGAGGACCAGGAACATGAGCCACATGATACAGGCAAAGGTGTTGTCGTCCAATGATTGATGAGACTTATCGTCAAAAGTATTACGGGAAATTGAAGGAAGACTTGATCACGATGGTTCTGGATTTGAGCGGCCGTTGTTCAACAATGCTCGACAAGCACCACGTCCGTGTTGAGGAGTTGCTTAGGAACGAGTCTTGGCTGGGAGACCAATTGCATGATAGAAACGCCTAATTCCCGTGCCAATCAACAGAATGACCATGTTACCGAGCACAAAAACGTGTCGAGCGCTGCGAAGAACAACCGAAGACTGAGGTAACTTAATTTGAGGCAGCCACCAATGAAAGCGCGGCATGGCAAAAGCCTCAAGATATCTGATGTCAAAGAAGGATTAGAAAACGACTGGCCTGATATCAACAACCCAAGTGTTCCCTTTGCTTGTTCTTCCATGAAGTCTTGAGTTGATATCAAGTTCGAATGCCAGAAGGCTTCTCTCTCTATTGTTGTCTCTCTCGGATGAAAACTAAAACCATGCCGCCGAGCCCCTCTCTCTCTCTCTCTCTCCCTCCCTCTTCTTTTCCTTGTTTTTTTCTTCTTTTTCCTTTTTTGCCCTCTCTTTCTATTACGATTTTGAGAGAAGGGGAGGGGCCAGGAGAGAAATGAGAATAAGCTAATAACGATAATCGCGGGAAGATGTGCGAGTGACCAGGGCAGAAAGCTTATCTAGGCCCTTGACGGGGGATCGAAGTCGTGGCGCAACAGGCCTCACCCTTGGCATGAGTATGCTTTACTACGTATCTAATGACACCCTCAATAAGTTGAAATAGCATGACAATCACCGTGAAGATGAAGGCCTGGAGCTGTCCAGCGTAGTCCTTATGGGCTGGCAAGATATCTCTGGTATGCACATAGTAGTTCTTATCTACCAAATTTGCATACCGGTCAACACGGCACAGAAATATTCATGAACAACGTATGAGTAACCAGCTATGAACAACTTGAGATACGCCTTGTCATCTTCTGATGAAGCTGGGGCCCCCCTCAAAACATTCTATTGTCCCATATACTGTGGCTTCACATTTGGGATTCTCAGCTATACAGCCCAACAGTTCACTGTTTACCGAGCGACCATCATCCAGATTCTTGATTCTGAGGCTCCAAGGAGCCATGCTAGTCCCGCACTCTGTATAATACAGGCTCACCAGTGTTAGTTGAGTGCTGTATGGTATCAAGAATTAATCTACGATGGTTGTGGGCGTAAATAAAATACCCCTGGTCAAGTACCAGATCTGATGGGGCGCCCACTCGACAGCTGCCAAAACACGCACAATACGTGCACAAGGGCTGCACAAGTGGCTCCAAAATACTTACCAGGGACATTTTACTTACCCATCATACCATAGTAGGATGAGAGGCAAGACTGCCCCTTGAAAGGCCGCAACAAGACGAACTGGCATCCATACAGTGTGGCATATGTGTCGTCTGTGGAGATGTCCCCACAGTGGTGCCAGAATTGGCTCATGTGCCCGCTCGCTTATGCATTCAGCCACGTAAAGGCATTCCCTGATGTCTCCTATATATACTTTGATTTCCACACTCTCTTCCAACCAAAAGAAGCTGATTTAAATCAGAACCAACGGCTTGATGGTCTAGTGGTATGATTCCTGCTTTGGGAAACTGAAAAATGCAGGAGGTCGTAAGTCACAACTTCAAATATCATGAGTTATCAATCATATACTAACAATCTCAATAGCCGGGTTCAATCCCCGGTCAAGCCCACCCAACATCTTTTTTTGCCTTTTTTTGCAGCTCATATCTATCTTTTTACTTTTCTGAACATTCTGGTGCAATTTGGAATTGACCCGATCACTTGTCGTTGAGAAACGTGGATTATCGCAACAACTATATTATAGTCGCGATGTGAGGGACTATAGCTTTTTTGCACCTTCTCTCTGTTTACTTCGCCCAAATGGAAGGCACAAGTCAATGCAAGCTAGTGGACATGATTTGCCCTGATCAATACGTATTCCAGATGCGCAAGTGGTGGGAATTTGCTCATGGTGAGCATTCATGAGCCATCCGCATAGGAGAAATGAGTCGTGGGCCCAGAGGTATGGTGCGGGGATCCCCAATGTCCGGCTCGCGGGACACGGACCATGCCATGCCATGCCAACCAGACGCCTGGGTATGTACGTACCTCCCCTTGTACTTTGTAGCGCAACACCAACATTTGCAAGAGCAATCTTCAAAATCGAAATGTCATGAAAATATTGTACATTTGTTCGCCTGGAATGCTGTAACCTAGCAAGAATGCCAGTGTATAACTTCCAATCCTTGAGACATGAGGCCACTGTACCAAGAAACATCTGTGTGCAATGTGCTTTCGCTCCGCTGCGCTGTGTATTGTGTACCACAATACACACACCATAGTGTATACATTCCTCTCCGCTGGAACCGTTCTGGTTCATCATCAACAACAGCAATAACATCAATCATAATATTTTTTTCTTTCTTAGAGTTGCCACGAGTGGTCTATCTCGAATTCAGGGGAAAATTACAGCCATGAATGGTCTATTCTACAACCATATCCGAATTCTCGAAATGCTACTTTGACCCTACCGCAGAGAAGAGTGACAAGCAAACAGACATGCTTGTTAATGCACCGCAAGCCACCCACACTGTATTGGTCTTGCGCGCGCACCGCAAACACCGATTCCGAATATTACATCAATTGCGCGACGCTCATCTTGGGCATTGAAGCGTAGACCCCGTGATACCCAGCGGTGCGCTTGCACGCTGAAATCAACTCGAAGCCCACCAACAGATGCATGTGCAAGGAGCCATTACCATCACCTCATGGTCACCAATTGCGCCTTTGTAGCAGTCCAAAGACTGATTCAAGCAAAATGTGTAACTCGATCGGCCAGCAAAAATACTCTCTAACCGCCATGCCGTCACAAGGGTCTCTCCTCCGATAGCGGGGCAATTGTCAATCCAGTCAACATTTTTGGCGGGGCATTTCTCTCTTGTGGCGCCAGTGCGACATCCAAAGACGACTCAAGTGACGCACTTTTCTATTCTACGACCTACGATTCGTAGATAATTTCTTGCTCGAGTTCATCGTTTGTCGAATCTCAATACCCCCCCAGAAAATCTCCAGAATGGCGTCGCAATTCCCGACAAAGAAGGTTGGTGTGCTGGGTGCTACCGGCTCCGTTGGCCAGCGCTTCATCCTCCTGCTCCAGAACCACCCGCACTTTGTCCTCCACGCCGTCGGTGCCTCGTCGCGATCTGCCGGAAAGAAGTACAAGGATGCCGTGAGGTGGAAGCAGGCCTCCCCCATGGGCAAGGTCGCCGACCTGGTCGTGAAGGAGTGCAAGGCCAGCGAATTCTTGGAGTGCGACATTGTCTTTAGCGGTCTGGACTCGGATGTGGCAGGTGAAGTTGGTGAGTCTTGTCATTCGCGCCTAGTTGAGCGACGGGTTGTATCTGGAAGAGACCAAGGAACATGATGCTCAAAATGACCGTTATACTAACCATTGGCTCATTCAGAGATGGAATTCATGAAGGCCAACCTCGCCGTCTTCTCCAACGCAAAGAACTACCGTCGCGATCCCCTTGTGCCACTCGTCGTTCCCACCGTTAACCTGCCGCATCTCGATCTCATTCCTCACCAGAGGAAGCACCACAGCCTTGAAAAGGGTTTCCTGGTGTGCAACTCCAACTGCGCCGTCATTGGTCTCGTCATCCCCTTCGCTGCCCTGCAGGCTCAGTTCGGCGAGGTCGACACCGTCTCCGTCGTCACCATGCAGGCCGTCTCGGGCGCTGGCTACCCGGGCGTGAGCTCCATGGACATTATCGACAACGTCGTGCCCTTCATCTCGGGCGAGGAGGACAAGCTGGAGACCGAGGCACGCAAGATTCTGGGCGGCATCCGCGACGACAAGACGGCTTTTGTCGAGCAGGAGGGTCTGCGCGTGTCGGCCGCATGCAACCGCGTTCCCGTTCTGGACGGCCACACCGCCTGCGTCAGTCTGCGCTTCAAGAGCCGCCCGCCGCCAAAGGTTGAGGATGTCAAGGCTGCTCTCCGCAACTATGTCAGTGAGGCCCAGAAGCTTGGCTGCCCCAGCGCCCCCGAGCCCAGCATCATGGTCTTTGACGATGCCGACCGCCCGCAACCCCGTCTGGACCGTGACCTTGGCCGCGGTTACACTGTCAGTGTTGGCAGAGTCCGTGAGGACGAGAGCCGTATCTTTGATATCAAGTTTGTGGCGTTGAGCCACAACAGTAAGTTTCTTCCCTCGAGTAGCAAGACTTCCAAGCTAATATTTGCAAAGCCGTCATTGGTGCCGCTGGTTCCTCCATCCTGAACGCCGAGGCAGCAGTTCTCAAGGGCTTTGTCTAATCGTGCATCTTCTGGGCGTTTACACGGTTGCATCGGTTTGGCTATTGGGAGGTGACACAAAAACTATAGAAAATGATCTTCCATCTATTTAGTAAAGTGGTAGAACTAGGGGACTTATATACCTTGCTGGATTTTCTCTACACATTGCTGGAAAAGTCAGATGTCTTACCTGGATATACACATCAATAGATAAAAATACAATAAGAAAGCTATCCATTCTCAAAGCCAGGATTTTCTCGACTCGGGATATGAGATTTGCAGGAGAATCTCATGACATGAATGCAAGTAACCAATCTTCCTAGTTTCGGAACGTAGGGGACACAATTGTCTTAGGCGCGTTCTACAATGCATCTGCGTGCGACTTTGCGACGGGGATCATCTTGCAAGTCTAGCCCTTACGGATCAAGACTTTTGTCACTTATACCTCTTGGCAATGGAAGTTTGAGAGACTAAAAAGCTTAATGGACCAGTGTTGACGTCCTATCAAAGCAATATAATTCATGTAATCACCTGGACATTCTATCCTCCAGCCAGTCGCGCGCAACCGCCTCTCCATAATTGGGTATCTCGAATGGGCGCTCATCCTTTCCAACGTTGAACAGTTGCACTCTCCTGTCCACCTCCAAGTACTCGTCAAGATCATGATCCCATTTGGACCGATCCCTCAACTCAATCTTTTCGAGGCTTCTCCGCATCAACGCCGCCAGCTCGTCCGCCTGAGTCTTGAAATGATTCGTTGCAACAGGTTTCCTCCGTCGCCTCTGAAACGCCGCAGGCAATGGCGGCAGAGCGGTATGCAGCAGCAGCGTGTCAGGTAACTTGAGGGTCGACTTGCGTGGCGGAAAGGCCAAGGCGCTCTTGCGCGGAGGTTTATCAGCCATTACCAAGAGCAAGGACTTGATGGCCTCCTGTGCCTCCTCGGACGCCGCAGGCGCATAGGACCCCAGCATGGTGGCAACGGGGTCGGCCGAGACGTCAAAGTCCTGCGGCACCAGCAGTCCGGCCGTCTGGAAAAAGAGACACGCGCTGACAAAGGGGTCAAATAGGTGGCTTGGTTCGCCAAAAAGGCTAGAGATGTGCTGCTTCAGGTCCTGGAATGAAGGATCGGTGGGCTGCCCCAGAATCTCCTCGAGAACGTTTGCCGCCCTGGCGCCTGATTTCTTATTGATTTGGTGATCAGGGAGAAACATGGTCCAATTGTAGATGCCGTTGAAAGCAACACAGCCGCGCACAGCCATGCGCTGGTGAGGGTGACTCTCGGTCAAGGCCAGTGATGTTGCCAAAGAGGCACCCAGGTAGGAGCCGTAGACATAGACATCGCGACGCGTCGAGTCCGACGGTGCCAGGTGTTCAACGATCCAGCTGTACGCGTTCAAAGTGTCATGAACAGGAAAAGGCCAATTGTGCAACGTCGGTGCCTCGGGATCCCCAGAGTTCTGCACCTCTGCCTTTGGTGGTTCGACCTCCTCAAAGGGATGGAAACCATACCACCTATAGTTGATGACGGCCGTGGGATATCTACGCAAAAAGGACGGCACTTGCGGTGCGGTTTCTGTTAATGCGTCCCAATACGGTGGCAAGTAAATCAGCAATGGATCCGACGATGACACTTTGCCAATGTTGTGCAAGCTGTTTTGATGTATTAACAATACAACTATCGCATTCTATGGATGATCACCACCTACTCGATAAAGACACTACCAGTCGAACCGCATTTGACACTGACCCGCTCGACATTGCTAGGTTTGGTCGAGACACTGCTCAACTGCCGATAGCTGAAATGGCGGGAGAATGCAGCAGTTCTACACCACATCCATCTTTGCATATTCCGCCGTTGTTGATGTACAATCAGTTCGGTGCTGAATATCACTTCATTACTCTGCCATACATCTACTAGTGTACAGACTTCTTGGACGAGCGTTTGAAAGTACAGCCACCACTGGAATGTCGAGAGTAATAATTCGCTGTTGTTTTCCGCTAGCAAAAGTCTGAAAATGGAAGCTTAGTCACGTCGTTGCAGTCACGCGTCGCGATGGGAAATGCGGGTGATGCGGGTTGGTTGCATTGCTAGATAATTTACAAGGAGCACCCATTTGCATTGAACGTACTGAACGCGATTTGGCTCTAGCGGAGTTTGGAGGGCATAAATCACCGGCGATTAGCTGGGTTATCCCGCTGAGATTCGATCCAGCTGCTTCTCTAACCCCGGTCAGTAGGCGACCAATTCTGGTCTCCTGCCCGTTGTTTCAAGGCTTCAGCAGGTGCCAAGCGACGTCATCCTGCCTCTAGCCATGCCCCCAGTGCCCATCACCCACCCAAAATATCAATTGCCAAGGAAATGCCTTCTTACAACGGCCACCATCAGAACTTTGTTTCTCGCTTTGGGGGTGGGCTGGGGTTTTCGATAAAGGGTCTAGATTGATTTTTGAGAACATTTTCCGAGACAGCAACAAGAATATCCAATCTTCATCTCGTTGCGCCTTTTTTTTTTTTTTTTTTTTTTCCCGTCAGTCGCCAGACCATCCGTTGTTGTCTTTCCCTGCGTAACGACGGGAAATGCATTCCTTCGTTGCCATATCCTCCAGAGTGCCAAACTATTTGTCAAGACAGCTGCACGCCAAGCCGCTGCTGGCCCCGACAGAATGAACGATGCAGATCTAGGCGACAATATTGACGACTATACACAAGATGTCGACGGCCAACGATCCAAGGGCGAAGCTGAGCGCCAGAGTGTCATTGCGGCGGATCCGGCAGTCCACCTTGATCCCAGGTTAGTGCAAACACCAGCAGTATACTCGCTCCATCATCATCATCATCATCGCGACTCTCGGCGTTTCTGACTATACCATGTAGTCGATGGTGGTTTGCTAGCTCGGCCTTTCCCATGATTGCCGGCACACTGGGACCTGTCGCATCAGCCTTCAGTATATGCGCCCTCGTCAAACAATGGCGGATGCACATTATTCCCGGCTCAGACATCTCCAGGGCCGAGTTCGTCGCTGATCCTCCATGGCTCATTGGCGTCAACGCCGCACAGCTGGCACTGGCCATTGTTGCCAATGTCTTTCTTCTGCTCAACATGACCAGAAGAGTACGCTTCTCTATCGCTCAGCCCATCACCATCGTCGGTTGGTATATATCTGCCATCTGCCTTCTAGCCTTGGCCTGCACCGCCGCTGGGCCGCTGATTGAGCAGCCAGAAATAGAGTATGTCTGGTCGCAGGCGTTCTATTACGGCATTTTTGCGGCTGTGCTCTACTTTGTCGTGGCCACGCTCATGTCCATCACTGTTTGGGGTGCCCAGGTTGGACATTATGAAAAGGATTTTTGCCTGACCACTAGTCAACGTACCCTGATGCTGCAAACCATCATGTTTTTAATGTACCTCCTGTGTGGCGCCCTTGTATTTTCACATATCGAGAACTGGCAGTATCTCGATGCAGTCTACTGGGCCGACGTGACTCTGTTCACTGTGGGCTATGGTGACTATTCACCCATGACTACTCTTGGCCGCGGTCTGCTCATACCCTATGCTCTCATTGGCGTGATTAGCTTGGGTCTGGTCATTGGCTCTATCCGAAGCCTTATTCTGGATCGTGGAAAGCGCCGCCTTGACGCTCGCATGCTGGAGAACAAGAGACGACAGTATTTGCGCCACCTACGCCGTCGTGGCAAGGACGGAATCCTCCACCCTATAGAAGACAATCCCGGTGATAGCAACCTCGAATTAGACGTCAGCCAGAGCCCTCTGACTGAACTTGAACGCCGCGAAAAGGAGTTCCACCTAATGAGAAAGATTCAAAAACGAGCCTCGACTAAGAGGAGATGGATGGCCTTGGCTGTATCTGCGTCCACATGGTTCGTTCTCTGGACCGTTGGTGCAAAGATCTTCCAAGAAGCGGAAGCACCATACCAGGGCTGGTCATACTTTGACGCCTTCTACTTTGCCTTTACTGGACTGACGACCATTGGCTACGGCGACCTGTCACCCATTTCGCCTTGTGGCAAAGCCTTTTTCGTCTTTTGGTCTTTGCTGGCGCTGCCCACCATGACGGTACTCATCAGTAACGCCGGCGACACTGTCGTGAAATGGATTAGGGATGGTACGCTGAAGCTCGGTAATCTGACGATCCTGCCGGGCGAACATGGCTTTAAGAAAGAAGCCAAGTTGGCGCTGGGAAGACTTTCCTTCGGCACCTTGTACGCAGACATTGACATTGAGGAGGAGCCACCAGGTTTCTTTGGCGCTGCTCGAGATCGTGATGAGGACGAAGACACAGACATGGAAGACGGCTCTGTTGCACCAAGGCCTCATCGTAGAGATAGGTCATCATCTAATGAAAAGAGCGGCGACGTAGAGGCTCAAAATTCGTCAAAACCCGCCCAAGGCCCTACCAAGTGCGACACAAATGACACGACCAATACAGGCAAACCGACCAGATCCATCAAATTGAGCGATCCACTTGCACGGCCAGACAGATCTAATCGAGGATTGTCCTCAGATCGCAAAGCAAAATCAAGAGACCGGTCGCGGCCAGGGTCGGCACACAGCTCCAGACGAAGCGCGGACTTTGGACTGCCCCGAAGGACAGATACCACGGAGCGTAAAGACCTCCCACTTGAGCTACCCAAGTCCCGTGCCGAGTACCACCTTGTCCTCATTGACGAAATTTCCCGGGTGACCAGACACCTCCAGCACACACCTCCGCGCAAGTACTCGTTCAAAGAATGGGCGTGGTATCTGCGTCTCGTAGGCGAGGACGAGAGCAGTGCCGGTACACACAGAAAACCAGCGCGGAAGCCGAGCACCACCGACGCAGTGAATCTAAGCCGCGTGGCCATGCACAAGGCAACACGAACCACGACGAACAACTCAAGCAGTGCCGGAGATCCCAAGGGCGAGCCGAGCGGCAACACGGACAGCACTGACCCCGCAGACGATAGCTTGATCAAGTGGAGTTGGGTAGGACACCGCAGTCCGCTCATGGACAGCAAGGAGGAGGCCGAGTGGATTCTCGATCGCCTGGAACGCAAGCTCAAGGCTGAGCTAGCTGCCGTTGTTGATGAACAGCTCGGTGAGGAGGGTACTCGTGATGCGAAGCTACAAGAAGCCCAGCATGACGAAGAGAACTCTCCAAGACATGAGCCGGTTGATCTTAGCGGCTGATTAGGAGGTCCTTAACAGGAAATACATATGATATGACCCATGGTAACCTCGGGGCTCGATTTTCTAGTATTGATAAATGCATGAGTACACGAGGCACGACATTCTTTAGTTGTATACAATATGGAATTAATAGGAGTATATATCATGGCGCATCAAGTTTAATCAAGCACCATTATCATGTCACCTTGGAGTATACCTATTTTTACTATTGCCTGCAAGGCTACAGAACGCATGAAATGAGTTTCAGAGAATACTGTCAATGATAATTCCATGACTTGAAAAGAGTTCAATGTGATAAGATCTGGCTACTTGCAAATAGAATTTGTACTGTTTTCGCTGGAAGCTCAAAGTCTTCACATTTTCACGCTCACCTCTTACGTGTGACCTATTAATTGATTCCAGCAAATTAGAAAGCTGATCTGGCTCCCCACTTCCGACACCACCACATCCTACCCATCATAAGAAGACCCTTCATAGATTTTCTGCGCCATTTGGCTTGCCATTCTCAGCTTGCCCACTCGTTCCGCAGATGGTTGACTCGGCAATGTGAATCTCTTCCCAAGAAACTTCATGAATTCTCATGATCTCGATAGCCCAGCCACATGATGTCTTTTGGTCTCTCCTCATTGTTCCTATGCAACGGCACAGCTTGATTTCTCGGGAGCTGATGAAGACATAACTTTGCCGATCCAGACTACTACCAGTACGCCAGCCTGTCAGCGTGCCTGAAGGGTAGGGATGCTGATCCTTGAGAATGTCCGCAAACTGAAAGTGTTGTCTTTGCGCCATGGTTTCGCGGGCAGAGTACATGACTCTGGCATAGAACTCAAATACAGCATTCTCGCCAGCTGCCCTGATGAGCTGATCGATACGGAAAAACGTTCTGAGGAATGTTTTCCCAGAAGCGGTTGGTATAACAGACTCATTACCAACTCGCTGAGGAAACAGAGATCGTGCAAATGGAATCGAAGCAGAATTTTCCACCTGCAGGTCACCCAAGGGTTTGACAGAGCGCAGTGTATGATCCACGGGCAACTTGGAGGGGCACTTTTTGCCAGAGATCACTAGACTTGGATCTTTCACCATGTCTTTGGTCATGCTGTAGACAGCATCCCAGTCGACGTCTTCGTCCAAAAGATCCTCTGTCTCCTGAAGTGGAGTGGATGTCTCTGCTGCTTGCTGTGAACATTTGGCCTCTGAAGCTGGTTGTGGCGAGTGTTGGAGATTGGGGTCATAATCCTCAGCAGACCTTGAGTCGTGATCCCAAGCTTCTAAAACACTGGAAGGTACCATTTGGCCATGGTTTTGGGAATCCAGCATATCAACCATGTGCAACAAATCCTTTTCGAGAATTTCGTTACACCCGTATTCGTCGTCGGGTCGCGGTGCAGACGCGCTGAACCCGTGGTCCAAGGTATGTGTTGATAATGTATGCGACGATGCATACTCCGGCCAACATGTTGAACCAAAATCCAAGTCATTTGTATGTTTGCCCTGATGACTCGGATCACTGGTATGCGCAAGAGTCCACATGTTGTCACCGGTCACTATAGTGGATTGCATAAGGTCAGAGTTGTGTACCGGACTGCTGAGTGTGGGCTGAGATGGCAGGCAGTCCATAGTTGTCAGATGCGGGACATGCTTTGACAAGACCAATGTATCTTCAGATTGGTTATTTGAAACTGCCCGGTGACTGGTGTTGCAGTTGTGATCCGACCGTGGCTGTGGACGGGAGTGCATGGGCTGTTTCACTGACCCTTGAGGATCACCAAAGGGCCATGGACGCTTGGCTCTTGCCTCAGATGACAAAAACTCACTCGCATCAGGATTTGAAGCCTCTTTCTGGCCTGCATTAGGTTGCTCTGTGTCAAGAGGAAGAGGGCTGGTTATCTTGAAAGCTCCTCTCGACCTCTTGAACGGCATGGCGCTGTGAGCATTTGGTAACTCCGAGCTGTTGCCTAATTGTCCCGGCACGTAGACTGTCGTTTTACTTTCATGAATGAGCAGGATAAAGAGAGGATTCAACATGAGCCAAACTCACCAGCTGTCACGTATGGCGTTCAGGTATTTTAGTGCAACTGTGCTGAGCCAGGCAGGATGGAAAGTGCGTAGCTGATGCCTTGGTCAATCCTGAGGGAAGCGTGAAAGAAAAACCTCTACTTCACAGATGCACAACACTAAAAGACGACTTGGAATATTTCTGATAAAATCTCAAGTGGGAAGCAGAATCAGAAGAGTAGTAAAATTTGGCGAATGGTTGAAGCTTGAAAGGCATGTCAGCCATTTCGCCAAAAGTTGGGACGTCCCTTGGCGGTGAAGGGCATTTTTCCCTCATTGCACTTTCCAATCCGACAGACAAAATTATATGCTTTCAAGTCGTTCAAAAATGAATGAGGAAGGTACGACAACTACGTCGGCGATTACTTATATGTACAACATTGGATCTTGAGTATATCATCCCAATATGCGATAAAGCAGAGTGGGGCAATACTCAGGGGTCGTTTTAGGTAGTCGCCGTATGTTCAATTAACGCAAGTGCGGGTACGCGCATTGGGCCGGCATGTAGCACATGGATTATCGCAGCCAAAACATCATCACGCGCAGCCTGTAGATCACCACCCACCCATTCAGTGATGATCTTGCGCAGTTACTCATACACTCAGCAAATCAGCCTCTTTTTGTATTCTCGTCTTGCTCCCAAAGGTGCATCGCCGACTTCGTTTGGATTCAGAACTGCCAGTGCTTTCAAAGAAGACGAACAACATTGAGATCTTCACTAACAACTCCGACTTACCCCGCGGCAGCACCTTATCAGTACGTCACGCCCGCCCCTCAGCTGTGCACCGCCGCGTTCGCAAACCTTCGGCATTCCTGTAGCCGGAACTGTGTTCAATACACGTAATCGCTTGTGAGCAGTAGTCGCACAAGACGACTTGAGGGCTGAACACTGTGTCTTTTTGCGTTTTTCGTTCGACCATCTGGTGTTTTTTTCCCCCCTCACGCTTGGATTGCCTATTGTTTTCGCCAATAATCGTGTGCGCGAGACCTGAGGAGGCCTCATAACAGACATGTTTTCACAAGTAAGCTTCCACTGCATGCGCTGGCCAGAGATATACAGGATTCATCTCACCCCTGCATCTACTTCTGCAACTTGCAATCTTGTTTGCGGACTTCTGAGCGGTTTACTACGGTCGGAGTTTTCTCTTCAGCATAATCTCCTCGCATAGTTGCTTGATTGTATGAGTTCTGTCAACTGATGCGGCAATTAGAAAAAACCGTACTCGGCCGTGACCGTCGCCATAGAACGGCTCACAAGCGAGCAGTTTGAAGAGGATGACTTTAGTGGCATTCCGGATCTCGTAGAGGTCATCAAACTGCAGGCATCTGGTCCCGCTGAAGCTGCTCGGGCCATTAGAAAGAAGCTCAAGTATGGAAATGTGCATCGCCAGCTTCGTGCCTTGACCCTGCTTGACGGCTTGATCCAGAATGCTGGGCCACGTTTTCAGCGTGCATTTGTCGATGAGCCACTCCTCGAGCGTTTGAGGGTCTGTGGTACCTCTGATCTCTCCGATACAGAGGTTAGAAAGAAGTGTTCAGAGCTATTCAGGAGTTGGGCTGCCGAGTACAAGAGCACGCCTGGTCTGGAACGTATTGCAGCGCTATACAAGGTATTCATCCCGGGCTACCCGCAAAATGAAGAGCTCACTGACAAGGGAATAAGGAACTCCCCCGACGAAAGCAAGTCGTAACTCAGGACAAGTCCAAGGTTTTGAAGGAGACGGAGAACCCTTTCCATGATTCTGAGGACGAGGCCGAGGCAGCACCCAAGTCACAGTCTCCCCCTCCAGCGGCATCCTCATCCCAACAAGTTCCTGTCACCTATCCCCAGCCTACACAGACAGTCCAGTCTTTCAGCCACACCAAATCGTCCTCAAGATCCGGCTCCTCCTTTTTCGGCTCTTCCAAGGACAAGGACAAGAAGAAGGATAAGCACAAGAAGAAATCCAGGCCATTCAACCTCGAGGCCGAGAAGGCTTCAATGAAAGTGGCTGTAGCCGAGGCTTCTATCGCTTCAACTAATCTGATGAACTCTCTCCAGAGTATCAATCGTGAGAAGGAACGAATTTCCGAGAATGCAGCTGCAGTGCAGCGTTTTGAAGCTTGCAAGAAGCTTAGAAGAAAGATTGTCCGATACGTAAGCCAGGTCACTCTCTAAGCACCATGCCTTTTGTAAAACTGACAGCCACAGATCTATCACGTCGAAGACGAACAGTGGCTCGGTGGTCTTTTACACGCCAACGATGAGCTCATACTCGCTCTCATGACCTTTGAACAATTGGACCGCTCGATTGATGCAGACAGTGATTCGGAAGATGAGCTGGCAGAACAAGCCCACCTCTACAGAAGTAAGTCCTTACATACTTGCGGCTTGACTTGTGCTTACAATTACAGTGGCAACCGAGAAGGGAAAACAAGCCATGTCACCAACCGAGAGTGCCAACCCTGGCAGTCCTGTTCCAGAGATGGACAACCTAAGCATCAATCCCACCCTGCCTCCTCGACCTGCGGCCCCACCAAGACCCTCGGCCGCGTCCAAGTCGGCATTCACGCCTGCTCCCCAGGCTGCAGTTGATGCAGAGGAATCTGAGGAATCCGAGGATGAAAACGATCCATTCGCTGACAGGAATGCCTTGTAATACAAACCACGGACTGCAAAATTCCGAGTATTCGAAGCGATTGCCCTTGTCATGGGCGGATATTTGCTTCCATAGCATTGATGTGTAGCACACAGCTTGATCCATTGGGCTCATGAAATTCTTTTCTCCCTTTCTTCACCTCTACTGTAGCGTTCTGTTGATCAATCAAGACCGCAAAATCTCACTTCACTTTCATCCAGCTTTCATTGAAACTGGCTAAAGCAAGGCATGTAACACCAAGATGGCCCATATTTCACATCCCTCCGTACACATGCAGAATAGGCCGCACAAGTCCTCGGGTATCTATCGAGGCTCGGCATGATTGCTGTTTGCTCCAAATAATGGTTCATGCTTCCCGATCCGATTGCCCAGAGTTGTGTCACCAAAAAGACCGCCAATACAGACTGTCTCAGTTGTAAGACTAGAAAGACTGTGCCCTCCTACTTCTGTGGGCAGATTTGTCCCTCATTGCCCAAATACTGCATCTTCAGACCAATTTCATAGCCACTCATCAACATCGCTCGCCACAATGAAGTTGTCTGTCTGTTTCCCGCTTCTTTGGCCTTGCTTGGTTCTCGGCATGGGTATTCGACAAGTCTCGAATGACAGACCGGTACTTGAAGCTATCAATGGCAAGAAAGCTCGGTCGCCACAACTTACACCAGACCCCGAGATCACTCTTACATATGATAACAATGGTGAAACATATGCTACCGCGAGTCTTGTCATGAACCAGCCGGCCGTGGTCCTTGGAGACGTCGAAGGTATCTCCAGCGTCCATTGCGATGGTGCTGGAATCCACATAACGTTTGATTCTCCGGGCACGTTCAACTATGGCAGATCTTGGGCAGAACACTCGTCTGTGATCTTAATCACAAACCATCATGGCAATTGTGATGCCAATGGCGAGCCGGGGTTTTATGTCACAAGCAATATTGAGCAGAACGAGGTCACGCGAGTACTCACTGCCAGTGTCGACAAGAAGAAGCTTGTCGATGTGGCATGTACGTAACCCCAAATTCCTCCCCTTCGAGCACTTGCCAACGTCAAAATTATAGCCTCAATCCAGGCTTCATTCTCAGGGCACCAACTTGACCAGCAGGCCAACATGTCCTTCTCGAATCCAAGCATATGGGACATTAGCTACATGAACGCCGCCGGCCAAGTCTTCTCAGACAATCCTTCACTGATCGGCCTGACCGAGCAAGGCTACTTTTACACCTCGCTCTCCTACTCTGGATACTTAGACTACGAGCTAGGCTCCGCGACAGGACCACGGTCGCTCTACCTAGATGTCGCCCTCACGTCCAACCATGGCCTTCCATTGGTGCTCAACGCCACTATGCCGTACAAGGGCCGCGCCTCGGTGCAGGTGGGATACCTTGAGGCCGGCGCCTGGGGCATCCCGGGCATCCTGGATGTGCGGCCTGCTCTGACTTATGAGGCCGGCGCCGAGGTCGACGCCCCCGCGGCCATGGTGGCTCAGACGAATCTGACAACGGTTTTGAGTGATGGCCGGGCTAGAATCGACCTTGTAACGCCAGACCAGACCGCCAGTAGTGGTGTAAGTAATTACTAAACAGATTTTCTAACTCCTATTTAGTCGGTTGCTTCACTGAGCGGAGATAAGTCATGTTCTTAGCATGAGAAACCTCTACACATGAAATATTCCGACAAGCTAACATCACTCGGTTTGACAGATGTGGGACGGAAACTATGGATCGGGCGTGACTATCGAGCCGTCAGGCCCCGTACGCGTTGCGCCGTTTCTGTCCCTTACGGCCGCGTTCGCCGTCAACGTGACGGGTCTTGGAGAGCATTTTTACCAGGCCATCCGTGGCTCCTCCCGCAGCGCTTACGATTTTCAGCTCGTCGGGGGAGGTGCCGGGGACGTGTGCAGCCGGAGTTCCTACGGCTACACCATTGAGGCGTACAACTTGGACGGCTGGCACCGAACGCTGCTTGATCGCCAGGACCCTTATACTAATGGCTGCCTATAAAGATTCATGGCATATGATGTCTACATCATTCTCTACAAGATGGGTATAGATAGAATTTTGTCATGTTTACGTTCCAATGGGCAAAAGGAGAGCACTTGTCTTGGCCAATTCGAGGTTTCATGAAATTTGTAGTTGACCAAACATGAGCCGTGCGACGTTGGTATCGATACATTTCGCCCTTGTATGGGAATCAATCTTTGATATCATTTACTAGGTTACGTTTCCAAATCAACACCTGTTGGAAATGGCTATCTCTATTCAAATTATTCGATTAATGTCTCTTGTGACCGACCAAGACTATGATATCAAGACAGCTCTTGATGATTAAGCAGGTTGTGCTTTGTGTAATGCTCTGGAGCTGGAAGATTTGTCTGCCAAAGCAATTGGATCCCGTGATGATGGATTGATTAGCTTGCCGTGACTCGTTTGAGTTCGACTGCCTCCACGTGTAGCACCCGGCCGGTCGTTCTGAATTACCGTATCGAGAATATCCTGCATAGAGTTGCACCAGTTGGGGTAATGGGATGAGTACGAGTTTGTCGTACAGATGAACATCTCGGAGTCATTTCTGTAGCTTGAATCGTACCACTTCCCAATATGGTCCAACACAACCGTGCCAAGTCGCACATTCGTCGTGCAAACTGGGGCAAGATCAGACGAGGTGAACCCTTTACAGAATGGAAACAGACGACGCGAGTCGCACACCAAGAAAGATCTCCAAGGCTACTGGCAAACATCGTTTCCTTGAGGCACAGAAGCCGGCAAGCTCGAGCTATCACGGGGTCCCGTTGACATGTAATCACTGAATCAAGGAACGCCAAGCCTGATATTCGCAACCCTTTTCTGTCTCCCTTGCTCTTCCGTCGCTTGTATACTTACTCGCCATATCCTCATACACAAATCACGTCAGCGTTCCCAAGCTTGCGCGTTAAGTTTGGTACCAGAAATGCCCATCTTGCTGTTTACGGTCTTGGAGCTTCCCCCCGAAACGGGCGGTTCTGTTTACTCGAAAAACCTTCCATGGCTTCTAGCGGGAAAGAGGCTAAAGCAGCCCAGCTTGTCCGCGTTCCTCTCCCTCATGATTTTCGTTTTGTCCTCATTGGGACGGATGGGCGAGTCATGGTGCCTAAGCTGCTTCATGTCGCAAAGTATTGCTGCCTCTTTATTTCTCCCGTCAAGTTACTTCTGCAGAGCTAAAGTTTTAAAACCAGCCTCCCCTTTTTTCCAGAAAGTTTGTTATTCTTCCCCGGATTATCTTAACTCTTTTTCGTCTTTTTAAGATTTCCTCCCAATGGGATTTTTGACACGAAAAAAAGTCTGACCTTTTTTTTTTTCCCCCACCGAGTCTATGCGCCTTTGCCAATACCCGGATGCAAACTTTTGACTTCCCGTCTCCTTCTAGCGCTCTCTTTCCCTCCCTCCCTCCCACCTCGAGGGCCCGGGGATCTGGGGTAAAGTATGCCAAAGTAGACAATGGGCTTTGGGTACGTGCGACAACCTTTCGGAATGTCAACAATATGGGAAAGAGACCAAAAACATTAGTTGCATAGGGCCAGTCCAAATTTAGAGTTCCATTCTTGTCCTTGGATTCCCAATCTCGGCAAGGTGTTTCTTCTTCTCCCTCCCTCAAGAGTCGTTTTGCCATGAGGTTTCGTGGCCTCCCTCCCAGTAGGAAGCTTCCCCGATGCCCTGCGCGGGAATCCCGTAATGGTTTAGCAATGTTGAGGGTTTGTTGATATGCCGCTCCTCCCCTTTTTCTTCTGCCTCTCCAACACAACTGCAAAGTCTATCACGACGATGGAGTGGCACAGATTGTCGCTGCCGTGTTATGACCAGCGAATTAACGACTCGGGATTTTTGATTATGATTTTCCTGGTAATTCTGTCCTGCATGCAAACAAGATCTGTGCAACTTTGAGGCTGCCGCACAAGGCTCTTGCGGGAGAGCTTCACAACCTCTATTCATGGAAAGTGTACAATGTCTTTTGCTCTAATCCTGCCTCGCCCTACCGGGCTTGCCGCTGGCTCATGATGAAATATTGCGGATCTTTCCATTTGTCCTCCCCCCCGACTCGCGGCTCACGCGCAGCATCGTAATGGACAGAACAGTAGTGACAATGTCAATGCTTTCAGCCCAGAGGGACCCGCAAGACCCCCAAAGGGCGTCCGGCAGTCAACGAAGAGTCACATGGCTTTGTTTGGCAGATTTGGTCGAGCACACCACCAACTCATCCCCCTCCCCCCTTTGGAGCTTACTTATACCATACAGCTTCAGGCTTAGGGGGCGTCCGGGGAAGCTGGATCTGACGTCCTGGACTGGTGCTAGTCGAAAAGTATGTTGGGAAGGGTGACCATCCAATTCTTTCCAACCTCATGCCACCCCTCCACCAGTCAAATAGAAGGGGAAAAAAGACGTTTAATAATTTGATCAATTGACATATTTTATTTTCCTATCCTCCTAACCTATAGGAAAATTTGCATGCTTGCTGACGTCTGACATTTTTCAGTCCTGTGTTTCATCTTTTGAACCGTTGCCAGCCGCACCCATGATAGTCGAGGCTTGTGTCAGTCGGACTATAGGGTATAGTTGTTGACAGGCTGCAGCATGGCACATTGCAATTGGGGCCCATTTGAAGACAGATATCTGTCAATTGAGCATACCAGGATAACCAAGGCACATTTAATCGTATTCTATAGCGCTCAATAGCAATGCATGCTGGAGAATACGGGATCCCCCAGATCATCACCGAGGCGAAAGGATTGGTGGCAACGCGTTCTACCATCTCATTACCACACCCCATTCTTCACGTATACGAGTTTGGACAAGACGCGTTGCCTGAAGACTTGAGGGTGCATATTAAAAATCAGCACTATAATCTCCACCATCCGTGTAGACACCACGTATACTGTTTCTAGGCATTCAAGATGCGGCCCATGCGGACAGCATTGATGCTTAGTATACACTATACTTGCTAGGCCCATTGTATATTACCCCCAGCTGGACATCTTCCGTGAAATTCTCTGGCGCCATCAATACTGGAGAACAGTTGAAGGTTAAAAAAAATAAGAAGCCGTAAAATAAAGCAAGAAAAAAAAAAGGCATTAAAAAAATTTCGTGCGTTTCCACGTGCACTTTGGTGGACTGAGATCTTAGCCTCCTCCACCGTTAGCCCCATCCTTCAGCCCTTTCAACCAACCATATCAGCTTGAAGGGAAGAGGGGAAAGAAACGGGCTTTCCAGGAGAAAGATGGAATTCTTATGAAAGACATATGCACAATCCAGGAGTGTTGTCAATCTTGTTCTCGGTCGACGGTGGCTAGAAACCTAGGGACTCCACCTTCTATAACGATTTTCGTGTCAAATTCGCGTTTATGTACTCAGTATGTATGTATCAATGCCATCCAGACACGAACAGCGGTTCCGTACACACAATTATCCGCGTCTGGGTATTGGAAAAAGGCCAAGCCTAGCGTTAGCATGGCTAATGCTCTGGGCAATCTGCAAAGACCTCTCTCATTGATGTCTTTTTGCCTATGAGAAATACCATTTCCCTGAATGGCAAGCCGAGCTCAACCGCGTGGTGTCTTTACTAGTGCTCAAGCTCCAGCGTGAGAGTGCAAAAATTCAAATGCGTGTGTGTGAGTATCTGCAAGGTCCAGGCTCTTAGCTCCGTCACGTCTGACTGGTAGCTGTCAGGCTGGTCTGGATGTCTACCTCTTTGTCTGTTCCTTAAGCGCGACGGTGCTTTAGAGTTTGCCGTTAACCGACTGGGAGGGTATGCCAGTCGTGGTACGTACTTGACCTTTCTGTACGAAGGATTTCAAGGGGACAAGAAGGGAAAAAGAAGTCCACCATCAAACTGCCCACCATAGTGTTCCGAAAACGTCATTGCAAGAACAGACTCCGCTCGTTCCCCTCTTTCTCTAAAACCCCACTATCGTGAAGAGAAAATGGGAAGAAAATTTCCACCCTGGCAAAGCTGCTGGCTGTCGGGGATGAAACGTTTCGCGAGAGGAGCTGATTCCCTCATTCTCTCATTCCGAAAGCACTGCGGCCCAAAGGAGGGGATTTTCACCCTCGACAGTGGATAGAGCTCGGCGGATTTCTGGATCCCCCGGAGCCCTCCGAGGCATGGGAAAATATATCACTTCAAAAGTCTTGCAGCTTGTACCTGGCGGTTGGCAAATCGTGTGGATCCCTCGGGTGGTCAGAGTGCGGAATTGTGAGAGCAAGGTGCAACTTGCGCCCTCTCTTCACCGGGCGCTTCAGCCACAGTACGGCACCCCCTCCCAAGCGGAGGCTCACGACACTTGGACCATCGGTACGTGTTTGTATATCGTCCCACGTGTGTGTAAGCCTCGAGAAAACAATGATGAAGGGGGCAGATACAAGTCAACGGTTGACTGTCCTGGCTACTGCGGCATCCATCATACGAATCATCGAGCCCGTGGCTGAGGCTCTGTCCCCACTATAGAGGCTGGAGCTTCCAGATCTGGTGATCTGGAAGTAGGTTGCATCTCTAGTAGGCCTAGTTTGGGCCTAGAGCACGCAACGGGCATGGCGAGGACCGCGAGGCAGGGCGAGAGAGTGAGAGGCAAGTAGTACGTAGTAGTAGTAGTGAAAAATGGCAGGGCAATTTTTAATGCTGAAGGGGTCGATGGTTGCTAGGCCAGAGAAGAAATTCTGGAAACTTGTGGGGATGCTGCTGCTACTCTTGTGTACTTATTAGTCAAAGTATGGGCCATGTGGACGACGATAGTGTCAGCTTATCCGCCTCGAGACAGCCGGTTCCTAACCTCTTGACAGCTGCTCCGGATGGGACAGGCCCGGTCAATGAACTGGCCGTGGCCGTCAGATCGGACCAGGCCCGTAGACCGAGTCGCTGCCGACATTGTGCCGCAGTAGAAGGACCGATGAAAAAGAATGAGTGGATATTCCGTGCGTGCAGCAAACGATGGTCGAAACTCAACTGCTCGCATTGGCTGGCTACTAAATTCTTG